GGATCAGCTCAGCCCCTCCTGCGTGTCTGGGAGCGCAGCTGAGGTGACCTGATTGTGCTCCGGTCCCCAAAGGGAGCAACTTCTGTGCCCGGTGAGCTGGAAAAGCGCCAGGATGCAGCTCCAAAAATCTCCCTTGCAGCTTCTTGGGCTCCCTCTGCAGATTTTAGTGGGCTGAAACATCCCCCTCCCTGCCTCCCCAGGCTTGTTTGGTAGTAAAATCCAGGTTTAATGGAATTTAAGTGCATTGTTAGGGTGACAAAGGCGGGAGTGAGGCTGCCCTGCGCGGAGGGCTGGTTGTTATTTATCTGCTGATAAACACAGCCCTGCTCCTTATCAGCACATCTCCCCCTGCCTGCCCGGGGAAAACAATCTCTGCAGCTCTGATATCCAGGCTTCAGAGGAAATTCTAATAAAGCTGTAGCAGGTTTGGGGGGGAGGATTTGCAGTGCAGCATTAGAGAGCCTCAGTTGCATTCTGTTGTGCTGAATTAGGGGGTGGTTGGCTCTGAATGGAATAAATCTAATCGTGTTTGTCACCTCGCTGTGGTGTGACTGGAACCAAGCTCTGGTTTCAGGGTGGGTGTGTGTGGGAAGTGCTTTGGTTCTGTCGCTTGGCTTCTTTTTATTGGGGTAATTAGCAGCGAGGGCGGGATTAATTATTTAATTATTTTAATTGCGAGGAGCACAAAGGTCTCCCTGTGGCTGCAGCGCTGGCAGAGGAGGAGGAAGAATCTGTTTTCCTTTCCGGGATAACTGAGGTTAGAAAAGCCCTCCAAGGTCACCCAGCCCAACTTGTCACCAGTTCTTGTCCCCAGCCACATCCAGACCTGCCCTGGACACCTGCAGGGATGGGAGCTCCAAACCTCCGTGGGCAGCTGCAAGGCCTGACCTTACCAAGGCTCATTAATTAATTAATGAGCATCTTATTTGAGCTTGTCTGCTCTCTTAAACAAAACATACTTAAGCACCTGTAGACCTCGTTTCTGGGTCGCAGGAGACTTCTCCTCACTGTGGATTTTTACAAGGAAAATGAATCATTAGGTCATTTATTGTTCCTCCTGTGCTGCTGCAGGGATGGGAGGAGCACTCCTGCACCTTCACCCTGCTCCAGAGCCTGCAAGTGCCTCAGGAGGTGCAGGGACAGACCCCAGATCACCCACACACCTCGGGGAGCAGCAGCTTGGCTCATGGAACACCTCTGCTTGTAGGGAATTGTGTAAAAAAACACCCTACAAAGAAGGCAGAGGAACTTCTGGGAGCAGTCAGGGATTCCCCTTGCAAGGATGTGCCCCCTGCAGACCTCCCAGTCCCCTCCTCCCTGGAATGTTTTAAGGCTGGAATTCCCCACTGCGATGTTTTTAAGACCCACGTGAGGTGCAGGAGTGCTCCTCCCATCCCTGCAGAAGGAAAGGAGGAACAATAACTGATCTAATGATTCATTTTCCTTGTAAAAGTCCACAGTGAGGAGAAGTCTCCTGCGACCCAGAAATGAGGTCTAGAGGTGCTTAAGTATATTTTGTTTAAGAGAGCAGACAAGCTCAAATAAGATGTTCAGAATTAATGGTACAGCTCTCCTGATAATTTGAGGAGAGGTTTGGATGAAAAGTTAAAAATACAGGTGAAGTGAATAATAATACACAGGGAGATGAAGAGCTGCTGAGAGGTGTCCCTGAGTTGTAGTGAGTGGGAAATGAGTCAGAATTGGCAGGATATCAGTGGAATAAAAGCTGGGAGGGAAAAGGAGGCTCACAGTGGGCTGAGGGTGGAGCTCTGAGTGAAATTTTGGCTGGGCTTAGTTCTGTGTCCTCAACAATTCTGGTTAAACTGAGGATCCACAGCACCAAATCCAATTGTGGATTGTGGAATTCTAGAATGGTTTGGGTTGGGAAGGGCCTTAAATCCCATCCAGTGCCTCCCCATCCATGGGCAGGGACACATTCCATTATCCCAGCTGCTCCATCCTCTTCTGGGCATTCCAGGGGTGATCCAGGTGTGTTCTTCTCCTTGGATTTCGTGTTGACTGCTAGCCTTGGCTCCTCCATCCATGGAAAAGCTGCTGGGATCTCCCTTCCTCCTCCTCCTCTTCCTACTCCTCCCATTCACTCCCGTGGGTCTGACTTTGGGTTTAACACAGCCAGGGAAGGAAAAGGTGGATCTGATCTCCAGGAAGATGAAATTTCCAGGAGATTCACCCAAAATTTGTGGTGGAGGCTCCAGGAGGAGCCAGGACCCAGCCTGGCTGGTGTTCGGGATTATCAGCAGAGATCCAAAGGGGTGTCAAAACAGAGATTAAATTAACAGAGAGGTTTAATTAAATCAACAAAATCAGTTCAATGGGGTAAAAAAAAAGATAAAACATCCCCAGTGATGTCCTTGGCTTTTATTTGCACCCCAATTTTGGGCAGCACCAGGAAAGCAGGGCTCCTTCAAATTCATGTTTAAATCCATCATCTCCATATATTTCACCTGAAATAACAGGATTTCAGATGGAATTCCTGCCTTTAGTCATGACTTTGACTCCTGCACTGGGTTTGCAGCATCCACACCAGGAATTCTCATCGTATCTGTGTCCATTTAAGAAGAACTAATGGCCAAATTGATGATAATCAAATTTCAGGGTGCTCAAAATCGGTGTGCAAACATCTCCTCCTGCTCCTCCAGTGCTTCTGCCTCACTTTGTGACACTTTATTGATTTCTTTTTCCCCTTCCTTTTCTTCCTCTCTGCGTGGAAACAAATTAAAGCAGGAATTGGGATTGTAAATAGATAATGGGACGTGAATGCAGAGTAATCAGTGCCAGCCATGTACAGCCATACTAATTGTGCCAGGGGAGGGAATGGGATAAATATTTAATGCCTGGATTCAGTGGGAAGTGAGAGAGCAAGGAAAGAAATAAAAGAGTTGAGAAGGCCTCACTTCAGTGCTTTTTCTCAAAAAGAGGAGTTTTGGTGGCATGAACCCCTCCCTGTTTTGAATAAAGAATTTTGTTTAATGGGGAGGCTTCGGTGTCACACAAAGGAAAAACAAATCAGGTTTGGGGTGAATCCACCCCTCAAGGATGTGCTGATCAAAACCACAAGCAGGGACGGAGGACAGGAGAAGCTGAGCCTCATTCAGGCAGCTTTGCTTCATTGTTGTCTGGTTTTTATCTCAGGCAGTTGAATTACAGCTGTGAAAGGGAAATTTGGCTCTGCATAGCTAAAGATTATTTCTGAGGGGTTTGCTGCTGCAGAATGAAGAATGGAATGGCCCTTGGGGGGTGAGAACATTAAGGATGTTGTCATAACAACATGCCAGGGGAACTTCCTCAGGATGGGTTTGAGCCATCCCATGTTTGATCTCAGCCCCAAATCTGTTTGTTTGAACTCTGTTCTTTGAGAAAGTTTCCAGTTCAATGGGTTCAGCTGCCTTGGAGTTCCCCAAGGATGGCAAAAAGAGGATCCATTTCTGCTCCACCTCATCCTCCTGAAAGGGCTGGGGAACAGGGGTGGAGACAATCCATGGAGAAGTGATTGGGAACAACCTCAAATCCCAGTCTTGAATCATCTCAGAGCGCTGCAGGATCCAGGCACGGGATAATCCAGGGTTTGGATTGTACTGTAGGTGGCAGAGATGCTTCAGTTATGCACTAATCACCCTGCCAGCTCATTAACGGGCTGGGAGCACAGGGCAGCCCCTCTGCCATTAATTAACGCTGCCAATTCCAGCCTGGCTCCCACTTGGAGGAGCTGAGGTCACCTCTGGATGGGCTGGGTGACTGAAGGACTCTTCAGATGCTCCATGGGCTGTCAGATCTGCTGCTAAAAAATGTTTAATAATCAAATCTGAATTACCCTTCAGATGGAACAGATTCCCAGGATCCTTTTGCCTTCATTAAAAAAAGCAGGGTGCATTGGAATGTCAAAAAAGAACATTGGAATGTCAAAAAAGAATGTTGGAATGGCAAAACTGGGTGTTGGAATGGCAATAAAAGGTGTTGGAATGCCAATAATGGGTGCTGAAATTGCAGTAATTTTAAAGTAAGTGATAATTGGGAATTAAAATAATTAACTTTCATTAGCAGGAACAGAGAGAGCATTCATGTCCCCAGTGGTGAATGTCACCATTGTGGATCTCAGCCTGAGTCTGAAGTGTTCCAGTCTAGACCTTGGTTTGGGACAAAACTCAGCCAGGAATTGTGAGCTGGAGTTAAATGAAGCAAACAACATCTTATTTTAAAAGGAAATAAAATTATGAGCAGATATGAAGGGCTGCTGCTGGGCTCTGGAGCTGCCCACCTCTGTTGCTGGCTGGAGTCTTCCTCAGGTTGGGATTGGTCATAAATAAAATAAAAAATAAAGAGGTTCTTGCCATCCTTTTCCTTCCTTAGTTAAAATAAACCGTGTTTTGTAGTGGGGTTAACCAAATGTGAAGAGACGAGCCTGGGAATGTTCTGTGCCTTAGGAAAAAGGACTGGAAACCTCTGTAATTACAAACATGGATCTCTCAGATGGGAATCCCTGCAGGAATGTGGGGCTGGAAGCAGCCCTGGAGTGGGGAGGGTGCTCTCCTTGGTTGTGTGGTACCCACGGAGGAGTCCCAAACTCCTGGGGGAGCAGGATGGCCTGCAGAGCTGGGTTTGGGGTGTCACTCCTGGTCCTGATGTGGCTTTAGGTGGGTTTGGGGTGTCACTCCAGCTCCTGACGTGGCTGTAGGTGGGTTTGGGGTGTCACTCCTGGTCCTGATGTGGCTGTAGGGGGATTTGGGGTGTTACTCCAGCTCCTGACGTGGCTGTAGGTGGGTTTGGGGTGTCATTTCTGGTCCTGATGTGGCTTTAGGTGGGTTTGGGGCGTCACTCCCAGCTCCTGACATGGCTGTAGGTGGGTTTGGGGTGTCACTCCTGGTCCTGACATGGCTGTAGATGGGTTTGGGGTGTCACTCCTGGTCCTGACGTGGCTGTAGGTGGGTTTGGGGCGTCACTCCCAGCTCCTGACGTGGCTGTGCTGCTTTGCTCTCTTGCAGGTTCACTGGGATGAATTTGCCTGCCCCTGTGATCAGCAGTAAAAATTGGCTGCGGCTGCACTTCACCTCTGATGGCAACCACAGGCAGAAGGGCTTCAGTGCCCAGTACCAAGGTAAGGAGCAATAAATAAATGCCTTTGCCTGGCCTCACCCACCCCTGCTTTGCCAGGAATCCCCAGCTGCCTCCCTGCATGGTTCTGCTGCTGTTATTTTCCAGCTGGAATCCTCCAAAGTGTGGGTTTCGTAGAAAAACCCAGCCTGGTTTGGGTTGGGAGGGACTTCAGAACCCATCCAGTGACATTTCCACTGTCCCAGGGTGCTCCAAGTCCTCTCCAGCCTAGCCTTGAACACTTCCAGGGATTCAGGAGCTTCTCTGGAAAATCCATCTCAGCCCCTTCCCACCCTCACAGGGCAGAATTCAGGATTGGGATAAAGATTTCAGGATGGGGATGTTCAGGTGCTGTTGAGGGACAGGAGATCCTTTGGCAGTGAAGGTGGGACCAGAATGGGACCAGAATGGATTGAGTGGATTCCTTGGAAGCGTTCCCACCCCTCCCTGGGATGTTTTTGAAGGAGTTGTGGGTGCAGCTGGCTCTGGAGGCAGGACCCAGGAGAGCAGAGAAGGAGCAGGAATGGTTTTGGGTCCTCTCCCAAGGCTGGGCTCAGGGGAGCTCTGCAGGTTTGCTCTCAAGAGGCCTTTGCTGGGAAAAAGCTCTGGAGAGGAGTCAGGGGAAAGGGAGAAGATTTTCCTTGGATAAATCCACAGAGCTGCCTCGTTTGGATGTTCCCAGGTTGTTGTTAACAGGGCTGTCATGGCCTCAACACACGAACCACATCATTATTTAACTTTCCTGCTTTCCTTGAACCTATAAATGACTTTAAACTGCAAGGAAAAAAGAAACCCCAAACCTTTTGTTGTTGCTTTGCAGCACCAACACCTGGAAAAATCAGTTTCCCTTTGGATGTCTTTTCCCTGTCTGAGTCAGCCTTTTCCCTCCACAGCAAAGTCAGGATGAATGTTCTCATTCCCCCTGATCAGATAAATGTCAGGGGGTTCTCGTCTCGTGCGCGGCGTTGGCAGAGGGAATGAACTGGGGATTGAGTGTTGGAAAATGAACTGAACTCCCCATTCTGAGCTGGAATCCAGGCAGGACCTAGGCCCAGCTGACAGAGGGACCTGCCCTCTTTTTTCCTGACAGTTTTTGTGGTGTTTAGCAGCTTCTTTCTGCCTTTCAATGCTTAAAAATCCAGCAAAACAAGCAGCCAAGCAGTGAAGATTCCCAGGGAAAGAAGGGAAGGTGTCTGCAGGCAGTGGGATCTGTAGGACAGGAGATGCTGATACTTTAAAAACCTCCCTGTAACCCTTTCCACAACCTGGCCTGGACATAAATATTTCACTGGAGATAAATCCCTACAAAACAGGCCATGTCATTCCACGGGAAGCGCAGCAGCCGAAATGCATTTTTCATCAGGAGAGCTGAATCAGGATCGGCCAGGAGAAGCAAGGGAGGCTTTAGGGTGGCTCTAATTTGCTGTCTCTTTTCCAAAGACGTGTCTGTACATCATTTATGAACCCCCTGTGTCCTCTGGGACAGGGTCTGGCTTTGCTGATAATCTATAAGAAAACAATTTCCCTTCCAGCTTGTTTAAATTGATCCCGAGTTTTGCAGAACACCTTCTCTGTCTGCTCCCTCTCTGCTCTCCCTAATCCGTGCCCTCATTTGGAAATCACTTTAGGAATGTAAAAGCAAGGTTAGATGCAATCAGGCTGTGGAGAGGGTTTGTTTTTTTTTGTGGTTTTTTTTTTTTTTTTTTTTTTTTTTTTTTTTTTTTTTTTTTTTTTTTTTTTTTTTGTTTTGTTTTTTTTTTTTTTTTGTTTGTTTGTTGTTGTTGTTGAATACAGCAAATTCGTTTTGCTCCCTTCTAGGGAGAGTTAAATATTTCCCCTTTCCCTTTTCCCTTTCATTAAGGTGAATCTTGATTTTTGCAAATGCTTTTTTCCCATTCTCCATGTAAGGAAATCAAAGGGACTGGGAGAAATCTGTGCACAGGATTGTTTTTTTTTTAATTTCTTCCCCATCCTGTCTCCTCAAAAAGGTGGAAGAAAATAATACAGAAGTTTTTAATCAGGTGAGGTGGCAGCACCTCAAGTGTCCACCCCATCAGAGGGGCTGGAAATGCAGGGCTGGAATTGGAGAGATGGGAATGCTGCCCTGGCTGCTGTTGCACCTCTCTGCACATGTTTTATGGCAGAACTTGGCTCCCTAATTGCTCTGGAGCTGATTGTTACCAACACATAATTGCAGCTTTTATCGATCTCCCCGACCCGGCCGCTTCCTTCCCTCGGGCAGGAAGATAAATGGGATGAGCTCCAGCCCTGCACAGGACAGAGCTGCTCCTTCAGGGAGGGGCTGGGCAGCTCTCTGCTGGTCACCAGAGACACTTAAAGGGCTTTGTGAGGGTGTCATGGAATCTTGGAATGGTTTGGAATGGGTTTAAATCCCATCCACTTCCACCCTTTCCATGGCCAGCGACCTCCCAATATCCCAGGTTGGTCCCAATCCCATCCATGGCTTTGATCTACAGATCTGTCCATGGGAAGATCAGTAGCTCTACCCATGGATAGATCAGTTTGGCTTCAGTTTGGACAGATCTGCTCCTCTTCATCCTCATCTCTCACTCCTCATCCTGGATCTCCCACTCCTCATCTTGGATCTTCTACTCTTTATCCTGGATCTCCCACTGCTCATCTTGGATCTCCCACTCCTCATCTTGGATCTTCCATTTCTCATCTTGAATCTTCTACTTTTTATCCTGGATCTCCCACTGCTCATCCTGGATCTCCCACTCCTCATCTTGGATCTTCCCCTTCTCATTTTTGATCTTGCCCTTCTCTTTTTTGATCTTCCCCTCATTTTCAATCTTCCCCTTTTCATCTTGCATCTTCCCTTCCTCATCTTGGATCTTCCACTCTTCATCCTGATCTTCCATTCTTCATCTTGGATCTTCTCCTTTTCATCTTGGATCTTCCATTCCTCATCTTCAATCTTATCCTTTTCATCTTGGATATTTCCCCTCCTCATCCTGGATCTCACCCTCCTCATCCTGGATCACACCCTTGGGTTCCAAAGGGATTTTTAGCTCCTGTCATGAGATCTGTGGAGTCTCCTGGGCAATTCTGTACAATCCCAGTGTTTGTGCAGGCTCTGATTCCCAAAGATCCATTGCTCAGGCTGCCAAAAGAGGAATTTTTCCAAAGAGTTGCACTTGATGGGGGTTTCTCTTCACCAAGAACAAGAACCCCTGTGAGCATCCTGCTCCTGAATCATCCCAGCAGGAGGGAGAGACCCAGCCAGGATCTGGATTTAACAGCAATTCCCCCAACAAGGAGAGCAGAGCTTCATGGAATAGATTTTCTTTTCTGTTGTTGCTGCTGAAGCGCTGTTTTCCAAATTAAAAATAAATAAATGTCTGCTTAAATCCTCATTTAGAGCAACACGAAGTGGTTTGAAAGGAACAGCCCGGCCTGCCTGCCATGCTGGCAGAGCTTTGTAATGTCATCTCTCAAATCTGACAGGATGCTGAGTATTCCATTAGATCTGTTGGATGTGTGTGAGCAGCAAAAGCCTCCAGAAAACAGGAGTTTCTGTTCATCCAATTATCCTGACACAGTCCTTTGTAGTACTGCTCCACATTCCAATTTACAAACAAAGTAGATTTTCAAATACCAGATTTTTGAGGGCAGGGAGTGGGAGAATTGTTCTTATTTGTTTAATTTTTTTATAAAAGGACAAAACAAGTGGTGCTTTGCTGTGCCTGGTTCTGATCTAAATGGAGTCATTTGTAAAGTCTGACTTCCATCATTAGGGCTCCAGAATGAAGGATGAGGAGGAGAGGATGCAGTGATCCCTCTTTATCAATTTATCTTCACCAATTTATCTTCACCGGAAGAGACCTTTCAATTCTCCCGGAAAGGGACACGGTACAATTAGGGGAGGAGATGTTTCCTGGGGATGCAGCTTGGGCTCTGAATTTTGGGATTGGTGCTCAGTGCTGAGTGCCTTGTTCCCATTGCTGAGGGGTTTGGGAGCCAGGTTTTCCATCAGGAATGGGGTTGGAGGGGGATGTTGGATGGGATGGCTCTGGGAGAACCTTAGTTAGAAATGTGTCCCTGAAAAATTTCCAAGCCTGGCTGTATCCAAATTATGAATTTCCCTGTGCCAGAGAATCCTGGAATGGTTTGGGTTGGAAGAGACCTTAAAATTCCTCTCACTGCACTCCCTGGCACTTTCCACTGCCTTCTCCTGGATTTGGGATGTTCAGCACTGGGGAAATCCCTGCAGCTTGCTGTGTCCTCATGGAAGAGTTCCCCAGGATGTCTCATCCCATCCATGGTGCCATCATCAGCTCTGGTGGGGTTCACCAATGCTTGGGAAGCTTTGCTTGGCCTCTAAATTCCCTTTGTGGTGCACAAATCATCTGAGCTGAGCTTTTTGTTTGTGTGCAGAGTGGGAACATTCCCTGGGGGCTGGATAATGGGATGTGCAGTGGGAAGCTGTGGAGAATACCAAAATGGGGATTATTTTGTAGAGCTGCTCCATCACTGCTCGTGCCCCAGAGCAAAACCACAGAGCAGAGACTTAGAGACTGCAGAGTCCCAACCCACATCCTTGGAAAATTCAAATCAAAATCCAAATTCGGCCTTGGAGACTTGGATTTGCCTGGGTTTTGTTGCCTGGGAGGGAATGTTGGGCTGGGACTGGGGAGTTATCCCTGTGTTTCCTTGGAAAAAGCTGGAGAATCTCTACAGGAATGTCTGTCACTATTTTATTTGAAGCAGAAATAGATTTTTACCCCAAAAATGTTAGTTCTGGTAGCCCCAAGTCCTTTTTCTGATCCATTGATACCACATTTATTAAAAACCTTGAGATGAAGCTGGAAATACCCCGTGATTCCCATCCACGTGGACCTTTGGGGCATCCCAAAACCTGCTGCTTTTTTTTCCTCCTGCTGCACTTGCAGGTGAATTTGGAGTAAAAAGAAACAAAGAGTTCAATTTGCTTTGACAGCAGCCTGCTGTTAATTAGTTTTCCCTTCTTAAATTAATAAAAAA